CGCAGAAGATGTCTGGCTGGGCATGAGCCTCTTCATCCATCCACTCCGAGTCGCAGCAGTCGCAGCAGTGGCGGAGGGCTGGGGACGGTGAGGCGTGGTCATGGCGAGGAGCAAAGCAGTGTGCACGGGCGGCAATCTGTCACCAGTTGACATCCAGTGTGGAAAGCTGTCTCAATTTTGACTCTATATCTGTACCAATCGCGGACATCACACGGCGTCAAATGTCTAGGATCTCACTTCCCAGAGAACGACCGCCAACGGATTTATCATCCAAAGATAGTCCAGCCATTCTCCGTCAACTGTTGGAAGCGCGAACACCTCCCTGAGGTGTTTGCCCTACACGCGTCTCTTCTCGCAGCGACATAAGACGAAACAGAGGAGTTTCCGCCGCGGCTTCATCACCACCTCTCATCCCCCGCGACGAAGGCCACACCACGCAGAGAGTCGCGGCAACCACGATGATTCCCCGCTACGACGCACCATCGGCGTTTGCCGGGGCTCCGGCCAGCAGAACAGGCGCAGTAGCGAAATAGAAGAAGCCCGCGATGGTGCCGAATGTCTGTACCATCTCATGCAGTATGCCCGCCCGCTTCGGAGTCGCATCCGATACTACTTAGCTTTGTCGTCGAGGGATCGAAAAGAGGTGGAAAACGCAGCGTCTGCAGCCGTCCTCTAATGAAGTTTTCGTTAGCTAGGAACACAAGGCGGGAGAGTGTCGCTCACCCGAATCCGAGATACTCCCCGGGAAACCGACTTCCGCGCGCTTGAAGTCCGTTGCGAGCTCGGAGACGCATCGTGGCAAAGCGGCCGCCTCGATTCAGCTTATCGTTCTCGGAACCAGGAGGATTGTTGGAGATGGGGATGCGGACGGACGACGACGCGGATGCGGTTACGTCGGGTCACGGCAAGAACCTAGAAGAGGCTCGAGTGAGCGTGGATTGAGGCAATAAACGGACGAACGAGAGCGGGCAAAGAACAGGCGCACCTACGCAGCCCAGGTACAAGATGACGTCCGGGAGCGCGAACGGCGTTGAGTTGTCTCGATTTGTCCTTGTCGGAGATCGCAAAGGAGGGTACGAGTCGGCAGCATCGCCGAAACGTGGAAGGAACGCACGAGGAACGGCTGCATACATAGGTTAAGCTCAGCGTAGAAAGAAAGACGGCGAACTCACCTTGACGACCTGACCACAGTCTCTATTCGCCGTTCTCTTCTCTCCCACCACCAACGAAACACCGACCCGGAGCAAACGACAAACACTCTGCCGCTCCGCCGCTCCACCAACCCATCCCACCTCCATCTAGCCGCGAGCACGAAGAAGTCTGCAGTCAACGGCAGCCACAGCGCTCGACGATCGACTTCGACGCAGCTTAACACTGGGAGTAGCCTGAGCACCGCTGGCGTGGGCTGAGGTGCTCCCGCTCCAATGCGATGCGTTCGCGGACACCGGGAGACGAAGGCGGAGAGGCACACGCAGCCGCAGCCGCAGACGCGAGCGATGGTAGGCACCTGGGAACGGGCGCTGGTGTCCCGGTGTGTGTCGTCGTCGCGTTATTGACTTGTGGTATGCCGAGTCGTTCTCGACCTAGAGGTCGAATGGCGACGGCTCAAGCACTACCACACCCCGTAGGCGACGACCCCGATTCGAAAGTAGTTGTTACAACTTGGCTGGAGGCAAGCTGTAGGTCTGCCAGAGCGAACGGCGAAGCAGCGACGATGGCGGCGAGGAGTGGACAGCGAGGGCGAACAGCGAGGGCGACGATGGCAACGAGGAAGGAGTGGGTGGAAGTATGGGAAGGTGAAGAGCGAAGTCGAAAGCGTAGGGCTGGTTCCCATTGGCATTTTCCCCATTGCGCAAACCGAGTCCACAGTGGAAGGTGCGGCAGACGTCGAGGAGAAAGCTCGTCTAACAGGGAATGCCGACCGTGGTTCTTGTGCGAGCGATGCTTTGCCTGCTTGAGTCCGCTTGCAGACGTCGAGGGCAACTGGGCGGGCACGGCCGATCCGAGCCTGGAATCCGGTCTTTCCGAAAGAAAACCTCGGTACAGTCTGCAGCTCATCGGGAGCCTCGACGTATCGCTGAAGCTGAACGCAGAGGTCGATGACCGTCCCGAGGGTAGTCTCTCGGGGACAGCGACGAGGGTGACGGCGAGGGTGACGAATATGAGAACGAGTGGGCTGGTTGTCGTCCCGAACGCCTGCCCCTGTTCCAGCTTCTGTATCCTCGGTCTCCTCCCATTCTCGCCGCGCTCGAGCCTGCAATACGCCTGGCGTTCTTCTGCTGACGAGCCAGCACCGGGTGGAGTGTCCTTGTGCCAAGGGACGCGGATTCGGTAGACGGGAAGGGCGGCGACCAGCCGGACTGCGTCGGCTTACGGGGGAGGGTGAAAGCGTGGGTGATGACAGTGCTGGTGACGAGCTCGGTATGGGCATAGATGGTAGTACGACCGCAGCTCGGCGTCCCGTTAGCGGCCAACGCGCATGTCCTTGCCCTCCGCACGAACAGCATGCAGAACACGAATAATGAGACGATGAGCGACACCCCGAATGCGCCCCACACGGTGTATCGCGCTCTCTGTAGTCCGGGGGAACTCGTTAGCGGAGAATGGGGAGAGAGAGCAGCCAGACGTACTTGGGCGTTCCCGAATTGCTTCGAGCTTCGTGGTCAGCGCGCGGGAGTGTGGTTCTCGAGATCTTCTCCTCGGTAATCACGTTCGTCGCAGGCACGACGTCTCTGTCGAGATTCCTCCAGGCGCTCGTTATGTGGCTGGGGTGATCATCGTCTTGTGGGCTTGTAGCAGCCTTACGTCGGGTTTGGGTCGCAGGAAGAGCAAGATGGCCAGTGGGTATGTAGATGTGCTCGTCGGCGCCCTTGGGTTGCCTTTGAGCCTTGTCGTCGGAAGAAACGAGGTCAGTGACGTGACCCTAGGTTGGTAGTACGCTTGCGCTTTTACTCTGGCGAGTCGGCCTCGGCACAACCGCTAGCTATGTCTCGACTCTCGAACCTCTTGGGCTTGAAGGAAAAAGCGAACCTCGGTGCTTCCGACGTCCTTCATAGCCAAGGAATCATATTCCGCCGCTCCCACTGCACTCCCGTCTGAGTCTGAATTGGAATCTCTCGTCTCTCGCGTACAGTGCAGATGCTCACTCTGCGGCAACGGTCAACGGCAAGCGACCGGGCAACACAGTACCCTGATAGTAAAGGACCCGGCGACAGCGCGAGGTCAACCATGCTGTCGCGTCTACAGTCCACGACCATGGTCCACGGCGCGTGGCGTGTCCTCGATAAATCAAGCTCTTGCTTTGCGTGTCAGAGAACTACACCAACTTACCCGAGAGCACATTGCTGTCTGCAGACCGATTCAAAATCAAGAACTCAAAGCTGGGACTTGACTCCGCGCCGTCAGCAATCACCCTGAATACCTTCCCTGCGAATCCCTGCACGCAAATCCAACTGCCCCTTACATACATCGTGCGTCAGCAGTCGAACCGCTTCCAATCCATCGCCGACTCCTGGCGTCCGCTCAATTCCAATCCGTCTCTACTCGCTAACCGCTGACGCACAATAAAATCGCTATCCCCGGGACCCCGACGCTGCCGGTAAGCTTACATCGCACGCTGACGACAACGTCCGCGCTGCGTCCCAATCGGATTGTGTCTGCAAACCACGAAATACCAAGACGCAAGCGATGTGCCTTGTACCGCCGAACTACGGCGTACGCTAGTATCAACAAAGCTGCAAAAGAAAAAATGAATCAATAAAAATTTTGACACCCGTGTGCTAGCAGCTCGGGCCCGTTACGAACCGGCAAGCCTCCCACATATATGTCTGCTACATCAAGATAATGCGTAGGTGTGAATACTCTCATTCACATTCCGAGCTTGGATACATTGTGAAACAGTGCTGTATCCACCTGCAAGAGGATACATGCCAATTGCTCAAAGTTCCAATTGTGCTAGCACTCAACCTGGACTGGTTGCTCAACTCCCGCCAATTTCTAGCTTATGCATCCCGCCGTATAGTATCCGAGCTGCGTGAACCTGGAACCTCCCTCCGAAAACAACTTGAATCACCTCACAAGAAGAGTACTACTAACGAATGCTCATAGATCTATCTGTGCCAGGGATGACTTGCGTTGGACCCCACGATGAAACACTGAAGCTGCAAAACAACATACATACTTTAAAAAATCTGATTACCTAGCACCATTTGAGTTGCTCGAGCCAGTTCCGAACCAGCAGCGTCAACCCCAAATATAATCTTTGGTGCATGGCGGTATGCATTACCTTTCGAGCTTTCATATCTGCAAAGCAGCGCCATACTTATGTATATGTGTCAGCAGTGAAGCGAACAGAACATAATCTGCATGCACTGATGTATTGTATTGAACTCAGATTCACTTATTCCTTCCCTTGCTTCAGGTTGGCCAGTGCCAGTGGTGAAGGTGAACATGGGAAAGAGATACAGAGTCTTCAGACGAAAGAAAAAATTCGGCATCGCTGTTCATCGCTCGAGCCAGTTCCGAACCAGCAACCCAATGGGACAGATTCGAACAATCCACACTGTGCAGGTTTGAGTGCCATGACTCTCCGAGACTGCATGGATGAGAACCAGTGCTATATATATGCAAAAGAAATACTAGTCTTGGTACTAGGATTCACCTGTGGCTGGCTACACTGGCAGTCCAAGAAAGCTGGTTCCAATCCCGGAGTTTTCTCTACAGCTTCTCCCTACGAGCTTTACTCACAGCCTGAGCGAGCCAACGCGATTAAATGGAAGATGATGTTCAAGGCCCAGCAGTAATTTCGAACTCTCAAACGTTGTTCTTAAAACGGCGAAGATCATTTGCACTGTTCAGATGTAGTTTCCCAAAGGAAAAAATAAGTGCCAACGGAAGTAAGAGCCGCGTAATGGAGAAGATGACTATTCCGCATGGATTGCGATGACTTCGACGAACTTCCGGACGGCAAAAACACTTTTCTCGGAGTGGAGAAAAAAAAAGGGCCTAACTGGGAATTGAACCCAGGACCTCCTCGAAAGTCACGTGACCGGAATCAACCCTAACAAGGAATCATACTACTAGACCATCAGGCCGATGCGGAGGAGGAACTTGATGCCACTCTGACACTGACAGCCGAGCGCATCACAACACACGACGTTCCACACTCCGCCAACATTCCGAGCTGCCCGCAAACGTTGGAAAGATTTGGCTCGAAGCCTGAGCACATTTGTTGATGATTAGTTGTGGCTAAAGCCGTAACAATTTAAATGCACCAACCAGTGAGTGGCACGGTATGGAGTCCTCTGAGATCCTTCGTCCCAGCTCCCAGCGAGCGTCGAAATGGCATGTCAGACTCGACGGAAACATAGCGTGTACTAGCAGCTGTAGTGTCAGAAGAACATCTCTGGTGTGTAACCGCCAGACCTCTCGGCATCGGGCATCGTGTCGTTGAAATTGGGCGATGGTTGATGTTGTCGCAGAAGAAGCCATCGAGGTATCTGCCCCAGCGCACGTAGACGAGATTGAGACGAGATCGATGGTCCCGGAGCACGACTACGTATGGCGAAAGGAAGAGGGATCATGATGGTGGTTTGGTGTCAGATCCGGAGGGCGCACAACGGTCGCGGCTGAGTGACTTCTTCTTGTCCGCGTCATACAGAGCACGGGTTCGGTGGACAGAGCCTTCCAGTGAGCCTCAGTGATGTTCAAGTATATAGCGGTCGTCTGGAAGTTGTCGAGCAACTAGAAGCCTGAGCAGTGTCTGAGCGATTCGAGCGCGGTTCCAAGGGAGATTCGCCGCAGGAAGTAAACGTTGCGTTGTGAGAGGACATGCCAGTGCCAATGGGCCGCTTTCAATTATGCCATGGATCGTATTGACAGGATCACCGCCTGAGCCCTAGAGTCGAGCGCGCACTTATATTACAGCTCTTTGCAGAACTTAGGGCGCGACATGATTTTTCACACAAAATGACAGATTTTGACATCCCGCGTATTTGAACGATTATGAGGGCAGTTTTCACTGTAACGCCTAGCGAGTGATATATTATCAAAGTGCTCATTAAGGCGGAGGGCCCAGTCGACATCCCAGCGTGAACGGAGCACATTTGGCTATATTAGCATTTCTTTGTATTTTCGTGTGCATTCACTCAGTTCTCGCCTGTATGACCTGATATTTTGAGGAAACACTTCAGGACTATATATCGAGGGCCCCACCAAACCACTAAGCCGTGAGATTATCCAATCCCTCAAACGATTGCCGGAGATGCATGGGAATACAGCCATCGTGCGCGTGCCCTCAACAGCAGAGTTCCACATATTTCCGACCTATATTCTGTGGAGAGGCTTGTATTCATCTTCCGGAGGGCCGGACATAAGTATCCACGGATGTTTCTATGATCTGAGCTCATACGACACGTTCAATTTCGGTGACTGTGATGCACACATATCTGTGTATTTTTGCTGGTGTGGGCCCAGTTCTTATTTGCTGAGGCTGAAATTTCGAGAGGTTATCCTTAGGAGGTATACCGAGGGCTCCGCATACTTACATAACCCATCAGAACAAGTGGTCAGAGCCGTAGCATGTGTACACAACACCCAATGAGATCACCATATAGTTTAAGTGACCATTGGCGCTCATGGCTTACATAAGTATTTGGGGCCCTCAGCATACCTCACAAGAGTATTCTATTAAAATCTTAGCCCTAACGAGTGAGATCTGAGCCTACATGAGCAAAATACGCAGACATGGGTAGAATTGCTGAATTTGGGCAAATGTGATCCGATCATCACCAGATTAGGACCGGGCCCTGCGCCTCGATGAGCGGGTCAAGAATATAGCACTCGTTAGATGATACGGTAAGAACTGAGCTCACAATCATTCAAATACAAAATCTCACATTTTCTATGAAAAAACACGTCGCGCCCTAAGTTCTGCAAAGAGCTGTAAGCTTGAGCGCTTGAGCCCGGAAGATTCAGCAGCATTCAAGTTGACATCGATTCGAGGTGGCAGTCAGTGAGAAGGACCCCCGAATATAGGCTCAGAGGTCATCCTGGACAATCGCTAGGGTCCGCAATTTCAGTGAGAGCGACGAAAACGCACGTGCCACCCACGTGCATTTCGGCTTCTTGTCTTCCTTCCGCCACCACGAAACACCTGGGCTTGGCTTCGGGGCTTCTTCCAACACTACTTGTCTTCTGGTTCTGCATCTGATCGGCCTTACTGGTAGCTGTAGATGTTCGTGGGCCGCGGCTCACCTTTCGGGTACCATACCCGGCAACGCTACTCAGCGCTCTCTCAGTTCCCGCCTAGGCTCAAGTGCCTAGCTTGATCATGAACTTCACCCGCGTTCGATATGGATCGTGTGCCTTCAAGTTGTCGCGTCGCCTGAAATTTCAATTCAAGCTCCCTTTTGCGGCGCCGCTGGCACTCGACGACTGCACGCTACTAGCTGTCCCTCCGAGTCGGAGTGGAGTCACCGTTCTCGGAACGGCCAAATACGACGCTGTTCTGAACACTAGCTCGGGAATTTCCGAATTTTGGACCTGCGCTCTAGCTCTTCGCCTATGCATTTTATTCAACCCCTCGCGCGTCTCGTACGTACAACTCTACTTGCTTCTTCCCTAATAGCAACTTGGATTCCGACGTCTTGAGCTCCGCTGTCGTGCAAGTACGCGTACAACTTGGCAGATGCAAGGGTGTCGCGAATCGAGCTACTAGTAATCCCTCCGAGTCGACTCAGAGACACCGTCCTCAACCCCAACGCTCACCTGGAGCTCTTCTACGACGCTGTTCTGAACATTTAGCTCGGGGATTTTGCACCTGCGCTCTAGTTCTCCTTCTTCGCGCATTTCATTCAACGACTCGTACGACGTACGTACAACTCTACTTCTTCTCCGGCGTCTTGAGCTCCGCTGTCCGCTGTCATGCAAAGTCCAACTTGGCAGATGCAAGGTCTCGCGAATCGGTGACTCATTCCCAGTCCCACGCCATTTATTCGTGCCAGTTCCTGCTTCTGTGAGTACTGTACGTTCAATTCAACGAACTCGACCATTGAAACCTCCAGTTTCCGTTGCGTTGCACAATTTCAAGCCGCTTGCCTTGGCGCACCCAGTCCATATTTTCTTTCAATCCCCAAAACAGCTCGAACTCGAATACGGCAATTTCCCTGAATTCGGACTCGCCGGCGGCCTCGCACGTTCTGCCTTACCTCTTCTTCTTCTTCTTCTGTTTTTTTGGCCTTTGGCATGGGCTCGGTCTGGGCGTCGGTGTTATCAATCTCCAGAACTGAGTAACATCAAGTAATCCTCCAGCATGTGTTTTCCCCAAGTCGCGCGAAGTCGTCAGCTGGCTAGTTACTGTACTAGATGCGCGCGCTTATCCCCAGCCGCCAGCCGCCCATCAAGTTTCGCTTGGATCGGTCTGAGCGTGTGATGCATATGGATGTAAAAAATCCTATGAAGCGTCGTACGACGTCGACGGCGTCGATCCCCACATTCCTACTTGAATGTCAACGAAAGAGTACAGGCTGAGTGTTTGGATCATTTTCACCGTGGCAGTAGAATAATTCATTGAAGGGTGCCCAGAATCGAAGGTGCCCGAGGCCACGAGGCTCGAGACGTCGGATCTAAGGGCGACCCGAACCGAACGTGCTAAGCGACAAAGGGAATCACGGATTTCGGACTTGTCGCGCGGTGCTGGGCTGGAAGGTTGCAGTTGCGTTCACTCACTCACTCCTCAGCGCTCAGCAAGCACTTCCTCGTCTTAGGAGAAGCATACGACTAAGGAGAGCATAGGAAGATCCGGAATCTGGGGGCACAATTTTACCCCGCTTGATCGTTGTGGGGTCTCCGCATCCGCATCCGGACGACCGCACATCAGAGATGGGATCACGACCCGTGTGGAGCTCGATTACGTTGTTGCGGGAAGCGCTCCACTTAATAAGAGAGCTTCCTTGGGGCTTCTCACCCACTCTTCCTTCCTTCCACCGACAACAATGTCCGAGAAAGAGAAGGTCGACACGGTCGTGCACATCGAGAAGACCGAAAAGACGGCGTTTAATGTCGTTGAGAACCCGCTTCAGGTGCGTTTCTTCTCCTCTTCTTCCCTTCTTGCTTCTTGTGTAGGGATCTGACGAAGCACCACAGAGGCTAACGCGGAAACAAGCGGTCGACGACGCCGAGGAGTTCTGCAAGACGCACGGGCTCGAGGCACACATCCCCCTATTCCGAACGGCGGCGCTCGTCGCGCGGGACCCGGACAACTTCGAGGGGTTCACGGAGCTCAAGTCCGACGAGCTCGAGGCGCTCGTGTATGAGCGGGACCACAAGTGGAGCGGCCCTGGGTTGATGTGGTATTCCATTATCCTGTGTGCCGTCGGCGCTGCGACCCAGGGCTGGGATCAGACGGGCTCCAACGGCGCTAATTTGTCGTTCCCCCAGGAGTTTGGTATCGCGGGTAAAGGCCGCGACGAGTGGATTGTGGGTGCGGTGAATTCTATCATCTTCTTGTCTGCTGGCTTTGTGTGCGTTCGTTTCTTTCTTTGTATTCTACGAAACTGACGTTCGTCGGCAGTGGAGCATGGATCGTCGACCCGCTGAACCACTACCTCGGCCGTCGCGGTGAAATCTTCGTCACCGCGCTCTGCCTCTTCGCCACGCCCATCGCGTCTGGCTTCACCCACACCTGGCAACAGCTCTTCGCCGTGCGCTTCGTGCTCGGCATCGGTATCGGCGCCAAGAACGCCACCGTCCCCATCTTCTCCTCCGAGCTCGCGCCGGCGCGTATCCGCGGCGCGCTCGTCATGTTCTGGCAGCTCTGGGTGACCTTTGGCATCTTTGCCGGCTTTGCGGCCAACGTGATCGTCAAGGGCACCGGCAAGATCGCGTGGCGCCTCCAGCTCGGCTCGGCCTTCATCCCCGCCATGGTGCTCGCCTTTGGAATCTGGTTTTGTCCGGAAAGTCCGAGATTTGAGTTGTTCTCATTGCGTTCTTTACTGCGTACTGATATGGATTTGCAGGGTTGATGAAAAAGGGCAAGCACCTCGCCGCGTTCCAGTCGTTCCAGAAGATCCGCTCACACGACATCATCGCCGCA